AACAAACAGGCACATACAAATAGGCCAGATGTAGAGTATATATACCCCTTTTTAGGATTTGCAGGTGAGTTTTCTTGACTCATTAGCTTGAATTGTGTTGTGACGATGATACCTTTCTCTGATGATGTTCGTCATATGACGGGCGAAAGCTTAGCACATTTTCACCAGAATCGAATGAGACTACCTCGGAAACAGCGTCAGCATGAATCCTCTAGTGGAGTCAATCAACAGCTGGTCAAGAGGAATCCGCTGTCATCTTCTGGTGAAACCGACCTTCGAATCTCTTCACCCAACACTTTCAATCTAAATGGAAGTAAGCTCAACAATTATGAAACAAGAGATTCCTCGAAACCCAACTTTTCTTCGAAAAATCCTCAATATTCTGCTTTTCAGTCTGTAATTGTGATGAGACTCGAAATTGGAGATTATATCCGTATGTGATTTCTTTCTGCTAGAGCGAATGCCCTTAAAAAGTTGGGTTTCAAGGAATCTCTCGGTTCAGAATTGTTTAGTTTACTTCCGTTTGGAGTAAAAGTGTTTAATGAAGTAATTACTAGGGTGATCCCACCAGAAGACGACGGTGGATTCTTCTTGACCAGCTGTCGATTGGCTCTGCTGAAACATTCTTCTTGATACTGTTTCCAGGGCAATTTTTTTCGGACAGACGAAAGTTTAGCACGTTTTTACAGGAATCGAAGGAGATTGCCTTAGAAACAGAGTCAACAAAAATGTCCCAGTAAAGCTGGTTAAGAGGAATCCGCCGTCGCCTTTTGATGGAATCGATCTTAGAATCTCTTCACTAAGCACTTTTACTCCAAATGAAAGTAAGCTTAACAGTTAAAAAAGCTATTTTAATCCCATACACATACATAAACCATTCCAATAAACCAGTCATAAAAAATATGGCCAGAATTCGACGGGAGTTCTGGGGTTTGGGCTTACATAGTGTGGAAGTGGATCGGTCTCCTGATCTGCCAGTGTAATCCACAATCGATGCAGGTAATTCATTGTTTCAATCCCCTCGGAATTAGCATCACCAAGGTCAGACGAAGTTGTATTACCAACAGCCGGTCCACCGACCAGAAGGGATGTATTAGGTGGCTCCGGTTTCTCAAGATTATTCAGTTCAGCAGTCTGATGCAGTGCTCTATTCCTGTCGGATCTGGTTTCAAACATCGTCCCTTTAGACAACAGACCAGCCTGGCCTTCATCCACCCGATGTATTCTTAAAAGCTCTTCTGATTTCCCTTCATCTGATTCAGACATCATATCTGCGCCTAGTGCCACTTCCATAGGTTCCTCAAAGTCCAATTTGCTAGATTGTCCAGAGTGTCCAGAAGATGCACAATAATGATGCTGAGAACGCAAATCAATCTGAGTGGACTGTTCACTCAGGGGATTGGGCGGCGATGCGACAGGTATTGAGTCCATCGGAAGCCTTGTGTCTTTTATTAATCTTATATTGTCTATTTCCATGACAGGACCCTCTGAGACTGTCGGAAGGCCTGAGCCAGCCCTTATTATTTCAGGCATAATATCAGCACACCCAGGGCTTTCTGACAAGGAAGAGGGCTGGACAAAGCGCATCGTAGGTGAAGTAGCGGCAACATACTGTAGGGGGGCATGACTTACGAATGGTGAAGTAGTGCTTCCGGTAATTTTTAAGGACCCGGAATTATCACTTATACCACCATAGGAACAGCGAACTGGTCGTAATCTTGTCTTTACCAGAATACCATGAGAAGCAGATGGGCTGCTGGAGCGGCGCTTCATGGGGCTGATGGCTGACGAGATAGAGGAGCTGGAGGGGATTCGAGATTGGAGCGGTAACGGTTGCTGAAGGACAGAGTTTTTAGTCAGGCTGCTGCCTAAACAAGAAGCGGCTGCCTCAAGCGAAACCTCAATTTTCGGTAGATGTAGCGCTTAAAGGAATAAATGAAGTCAATAAAATTAAATAAGCCAATGTAAATAAAATTGAGGTCAACACAGCAGAGAAAAAATCATCGTTAAAACTCAATTAACTAGTTTCAACTGATACTGAACTAAAGCTATAAAGTAAACTGAACTAAAACAAAGAAAATTAGGATATCTTGGAAAACAATGAATGCTTCCTCATTCAAGAGTTTTTTGTCCACAAATCCCCATTTGAAATAGTTATTTTTAAAATTTTGAAAAGCATTTTGTAATGAAAATTAAACCATTAGTTTCTGGCTAAAAACAGTGTAGGGCCAGACGAAAATAACAAGTTCTAAAAAAAACTATGGAAGTATTTTCATATTTTACCTTCTCTGAATACTAAACCACGTAAGGGTGGGTAAAATTCATTTCAAAAGCTCTACTAATTGATTGAAGTTGGAGGAATTTAGTTGAGAATTGCTTTATTCCTGTCATGGTGTCAGATCCAATCGTCACACCCATTAGGCCAATCCAGAGCTAGTGCTCTGGATAAATTACTCTGATTTGATGAATTAATGGCGAATCTAATGCATAATAGTATTACGAATTAGCTGAAGCCATTATTTTTTTCAAATCTATACAGTAATCAATCTAAATTTAAAAGGTTAGTAATCGTTAATGGAGATGAATAAAGCAGTGATTGTAATGATCAAGAACATAAGTCTGGTTTAGTTGACGAACCTAACGTCAAAATAAAAGCAAACGACTGGGGAATAATAGGAATCAGATGTCAGCTCCTGATTAGATTGTTCCACAAGTCTATTTATCAGTTACTAGTATATAAAATCAGCCAGCACAATAATATTATCTCAGAAGATTAATCAAAACGCGGTTAAAATGCATATATAAACTGAGAAACGCTAAACCAACCCTATATAATCAAAGAAGAGTCAATGAAGCAGAGACCATGATAGCCTAGCCTTCATACCTGCAAAAAGTCCCCGATCCACGATCAGAGACCATCAAGTTCATCAACACAACTCCTTTAATCGAAGGTATGAAGTCCAAGATGGTGTGGCCTTTTAAATAGTCGCAGTCTCCTTTCGTTGTATAGAAGTAGTTTGACCTTGTCTTCGTAACTTGGTCATATTGGTAGGAAGACCTAGAGGAAAACGTCTAGTCCGGAGTCTGTAGTATACATGATAATTTTCAAATTCGGACCGTAGATATGATACATTTCCTGACGTTTTGCCAGTCTTAGCACCACACTACAACTCATTAACGAGACAAGTGAAGCCGATCCTTCGACCAATTGTCTGCTAAACAATTGTGGTATCTCTCCTGCCCTTGGCTATTCACCAATCCTATATCCTCGAACCACCTCTTCATTATCACAATCTCTTAATTGCTTATTTAAATGTGGTATGGTATGCAGTTTTTAGCGTATTTCATGAAAACTCTCCAAACCCCAAGATGGCCTACACACCCTCTCACCTCTCAATCCTCTTCCCACAGGTCTTATCAAGTCTTTCTCTTGTCCGGTAGAATCCGCCTCCTACCTTCGAAGCTCAGGTATTTCACTCGACCCCTGCCACCCTTTATGTACTACTCTAAGCGTTATTTTTCACACTGTCTCAAGCCTTTGATAGTACGCCTACTCCCGCCTCACTTAGTAGGCCGCTAAAAATAAGGATTCTCAACATGGATGGGAGACTGACTTGAGGCTAAAAGGCCCGAGTAATTCACATGGTCTAGCCATTGCTACATGGAGCACGTCTATGATCAAACACATCTACTGTTAACCAACTAGCTCTACTCTCCGCCGCATTTATCGTGCTCCTATCCATAGTGCCAAGTCTATGACTTTCTATGGCCTAGTCTCTTTTTTGAAAACCCACAAATGTTGTAGTTATAATTGTTTTGATTAGTTTCAATCTAAAACCACAACATTTGTGGGTTGGCACGCCAGAAACTAGGGCATAGGAAGTCATAGACTAGTTGGCTAACAGTAGAAGTCTTCTCTTGGTTCAGTATATTTTTGTTCTATTTTGTAAAGTATGAAATCATGCTCTGATAATGTCACTCACAGTACAGACTAAAGCTTAGCACAATTTCATTCGGGTCGCAAGACGGTGAGCCTAGGACTTCTTCGCACAATTCAACAGTCTTCCTCCTTCGGTTTCCGGTGAAATCACCTCACAAATTCCTTCCAACCAACTATCCCTTCGAAATGGAGAGACATGCCACAA